AGAGAACCTTTACCTAGATCTCTCTTACCGGGCTCCCTCCTACCGTGCTACAAGAGCGCGTATAGGTGGTTCCCCGGTCCGCTGCAACGTCGAGAACGGGGTTTAAGTTAGAAATTTTACCTTGAAGTCCGGTGGTGGAGAGTCGTTGGCGACTGTCTGCTCGAGGATCGAGGCGGGAGAAGACAATCATTTTCAATTAATAATAACTAATTATTTAATTGTAATTAACCATTAATTATATTTAATTATAATTGAAGTTATTTAATTATATTAAATTATAACTAATACAACTAAATAATTAATTAAAATTAATTATAATTAACTATTTAATTATAATTAATCTATTAATTATAATTAATTATAATTAGTTATGCCTAATTATAATTGATAATAATTAATAGTAATTAATGATAATTAACTGTTAAATATAATTAATAATAACCAATATTATTTAACTATAATTAATTATAATTAATAGAATTAATAACTAATTATAATTAAAAATAATTATTAAATTAATTATAATTAATATTAGTTAATTAATAATATAAAAATAAGTAATCTCTCCCTCTCTCTCTATCTCTCTGTTCGACGGATTCAGAGGATTTGGCCGGGGATTACAGCAGGGATTAAGTCGGATCTATACTAAATCCAGCCAAACGATTTCGGTGTGCACGTTAAATCCCGGCGATGGGTAAATCCCGGATTTAAGGACTTACGGCTTAAATCCCACATTTACTAAATCCCTTAGTTCGGTGGATTTCGGGATTTGGCCGAAGAAGAACGCAAAGGGAGAAAGTTACCCTCACAGCCGGCAGCTCCCGTTCTTGCACCCGATCAGAATGTCGCAACTTTCAATCTTCACAGCATGCGGAGCTCCTGTCCGCTTCCGATCAAAGTGTCCTAACTTCCGATCCAACGGGGAGGGACAGTTGTGCAAGGGGCGAAGTCGATCGGCCACGGGAGGAGTCAAAGAAGCGTCGCAAGGGAGAAAGTTACGATCTCAGCAGGCGAGCTTCCGTTCGTTGCTTCCGATCGTTGCTTCCAACCTTAATGTCGTGACTTCCGATCCTACTGGGAGGAGAGAAGGCGAGAGAGGTAAGAGCTCGGGAGTAGAGTAGGGAGAGATCGAGAGAGTCGGAGAGATGGAGTCAGTGAAAGACTCGAACGAGTCAGAGAGCTGAGCTCTCTCATTTTCTCCGACATTTAACGCTGCAGAAAAGTGCCAGGCAACGTCGTGCAAGAAACGACGTTGAATCGTGCGTAGGTACGGCGACGACGTGCGACGAGCATAGCATGTAGGATTTGATTTATTCTCTCTCTTTTTTTTTTTGTTAACTGGATACGGGTCAACAAATCCCTTTACCTAGGTTCCCCTTACGGTAGATTATGTCTACAGCTTGCATGTGAGTCTGGTTTGGATTTTGCATGAATTGGCTGACCATGCTTACAATAAACGCTATATCTGATTTGGTGTGAGAAAGGTATATTAATTTCCCCACAAGTCTTTGGTAAGATCCTTAATCTATATTTAGATCTTATGTAGCTTCCCCCAATTTGAGATTTGATTCTACTGGTGTTGGTGTTAATTTACAAGCTAGTTTATTTATTTCTTTAAGAAGATTATTAATGTATTTTTATTGTGAAATGAAGATTCCTTTGCTAGAGTGGGCCACTTCAATTCCAAGAAAATATTTTACCACTTAAACTCCAAGAAATATTTTAATCTACTGAGATCTTCAATCTCAAATTCCTTGGCAAGAAATTTCCTTAAGATCACTTTCTCCTTTTCATCATTCCTAGTCAAGATGATATCATTCATATAAACTAATAGAATTATGACTTCCCCTGAGTCTGAGTGCTTGAAGAGTAATGTATGATCCCCTTAGCTCTGCCGATAACCATTAAGTAACATAACATTTAAGAACCTTCCAAACTAAGCTCTAGGTGATTGCTTTAGCCCATATAGAGTTTTTTTAGCCTGCACATTTTGTTACCCCCAGATTTCTCCTATAATCATGGTGGTATTTTTTCATAAATATTTCTTCCTCTAAGTCCCTGTGTAGGAATGCATTTTTGACATCTAGCAGTTTCAGATGCCAATTATAAGTTGCTGCTAGTGAGAGCAGGATCCTCACGGTGTTCATCTTGGCCATCGGTGCAAAAGTTTCATGGTAGTTAATGATGTACATCTGAGTTTGCCCTTTCGCCATCGGTCTTTCCTTAAACCTTTTCAATGTACCATCAACTTTGTATTTCACAGATAACACCCATTTGCAGCTGATTGGTTTTTTTCTTATTGGTAGGTCAGTGATCTCCCATGTATTTTTCTTCTCCAGGGCCTTCATTTTCTTTCATGGAACTTTTTCAATTTTCATTAGATAAGACCTCAAAAATATTATTAGGAATATGAATATCATTTAGTGTAACCAGAAAATTTTTGTGTGAATGTGAGAAGTTATGGAAGTATACAAAGTTGGTTATAGGGTACAAGAGAGATTTTTTTGGTGAACTTGTGTTTACCTCAATTTTAGGAGACAGTTCAGATTCTTGAATCTGTTCTGGAGCATAGCTTGGATTTGTGTGCCTAGAATACACTTGCCTAAACCTCCTGGTATCCATAATAACTTTGTCCTCAGTTACCCTGGCTTTGATTTTAGGTTTCTGGGGAATTATTTGAGGTGGACCTAGAAGGTCAAGAGGAGCAAGCTCACTTTCCTCATCTTCCTCAATTTGTCTCCCACTGAAGATAAGGTTTGGTGAAATAGGGTTTTTGTTCATCAAAGGTAACGCCAATTGATACAAAAGTTTTCTTGGTGGAGGGATGATGACACTTATAACTTTTTTGCGTGGATGAATATCCAACAAAGATACATTTGAGTGCTCTTTGATCTAATTTTTCTCTATTTTTACTATGAATGTGAACATAGGTAGCACATTCAAAGATTCTTGGTGTAAGGTTATTATGGGTTTGTAATTCAGGGTAAAGAGAGGATAGAATATCCATTAGTATTTTTATAGTTCCAAGGTTTTTGAAGGTAGTCGATTTATGAGATATGTGACAGTTAGAAGGGCTTCCCCCCAGTAGGATTTGAGTACATTGTGGTGGAATAGAAGTGCATGGGTGGAGGCTAGAAGGTGACCATTTTTTTACTTTGTGCAACCCTATTTTGTTGTAGGGTGTGAATGCATGAAGACTCATGAATGATACCTTCTTTTTAAAAGTAGGAGGATAGTGTTTGGTTAAAGTAATCTTTAGCACTGTCTGAACGAATTTTTTTTTATTTTTACACTGAATTGGTTCTGGATCATGGTATGAAAAATGGAGAGGATAGTGCTAACATCAGATTTGTTTTTAAGAAGAAAGATCTAAGAGACTCGAGTGCAGTCATTAATAAAGGATACAAACCATCAGACTCCTGAGATGTTACAGATTTTTTAGGGTCCCTAAATTCTCTATGAATGAGGTAAAAGGGAGTATTACATCTCTCATATTTGTTTGGAAAAGAAACTCATTTATGCTTGGCTAACTCACAAGTTTCACTATGAAAATATATATTTTCCAACTTATAAAAAAGTTTTGAGTACATATTTTTTAAGACATCAAAAGATAGATGTCCTAATCTAAAAGGTTGAAGCCAAATAGTAGATTTTTTATCAAATTGGGACAACATATAATAGACATTATTGATAATATTAGATCAAGGGAATATGGTTAACTAATTTATCTTTTGAAATTATTTTTGAATCTTTAAAAATTAGCTCTATCTTGATGTCCCTTTCAAGAGCTCACATGAATGCCCAGTATATATGCTTGATTTTGAGTAGTACGCGCCTCTTGTTGATTTGATATCATCATTGGTATTATTCTTTATTTATACTATTTCGTAATTCATTTAAATGCTTTGATTTCTTAGTCCTTGGGATGGTGACATGATTTTATAAAACTTGTCTAGTAGATCATAATATAGCTAAAAAAGATCATAATATTACGGCGCATGAATCAAATCTTATGGCTTTTCTTATGAGAGAAATCACAACAAATTTACTAAATTTTTAGAGAGCAAAAAGCTATCATGTATTTATGTCTTATATTATTCGAGGATAAAATGATCTTTGTGTGTGATTTTATTAGATGATTTAATGATACATAGATGTGATATGTTTAAGTATCTTGGATCTATATGCAAAAGAATAAATATTTGTGTAATGATATAATTTTTGGTGTCAATGCTAGATGGTTAAAATAGAAAATTGCCTAACAATTATTATACAATCAGGAGAAAACTTGGGGTCTTGAAAGTAAACTTTATAAAGTGTAGCTGGGCTGACTTTATATTATATGGTTCTGAGTGTATCTGCAAAAATAATGTAGATAACTAAGTTAGGTGCCTTGTGATGGAGGGGTGGGATACTAGGAAGAATAAATTGAAGAAATATTATAATAAAAGGTATGGACGTAGTTGCTTCTATTTAGACAAGATTGTTGAAAATAGATAGGTGGTTAGGATAGTATAATGAATGATAGAAAATACACTAAAAGAAGTGCAGATAAAATTAGCATCAAATGATTTTGAATGAAAGGAGCAAATCTAAGGTAACATGTGATAGAAGTTATTCACAAAGGTTTGTAAATAATAGGTTTAAAACCTCTTGCAACATTAAACATGAATCAATGGGAAGCGAAGACTCGTAAAGCCTTACCGAATAGTTGGGGTAAGCTTAATAAAGATGATGATGATATTTAATTTTTATTTATATCTTTATTTTTTATGTTCATATTTGAGGAGTGATCAGAAGTTGCATATGAATCTACTATAGGTATTGTTTGACAACCGTAAGCTGACCTCAATGGGGTACCAATTTACATGGAAACCACTTCCTAGAGTTTTCAAGCTTTTTGTTCTTAAGAGTTCATTTTCCATGCTGAATAGTTTTATGTAAGTTTTATATCAGCTTCAAATTTTTTGACTGAGCATCCAATGTCTACTTTGTTGCAGTATATAAACATGAAATCTCAAAACCTATCCATCATACTCAAAAAGAGGTTCACAACTCCCAATTGGATTAAGGTTATTTAAAGTTTTATTCACTTATTTCTTTTTTCATTGTAGATGCTGTTTATCGCTCATTTTTTTACCCATTATTATGATGCATTTTCAGCACAAGGAGCCGCGAGAAGTTAATATGTTCGTGGACCTACTTCTTCAAGAGGTGGGCATGCTCAAATTTTCAAAAATTTCTTTAGCCATATTTTGCTGCTGATAAAACTTCATTTTAATTGAGTAGTCCAAAAAAATGAAATTTTACGTGAGTCACTTAGTTTAATTTAAAAAAAAAAATGATACTTCAAACAGTTATAGTATTATTTTAGCGTTGTTGAAAGAGCATATAGATTAAACTGTAATAAAATTTTCTGATGCTTTAGGGTTTAATTAGAGTAGTTGTTATGAAATGAAAATCAGTAAGTGTACCAAATTCTAAAATCCAAATAAATATGGATTTAAAAGTTAATATGATTTATTTATGTATGAATTTACTGAAAATCATTTGTAAAGTGATCAAAATAGCCCTTAGACTATTTAGATATGTTCATGTAGTCACTGACTTTTTTCAGCCAATTCATCTCACTTGCCTGGAATTGATGGAAGCTATTTGTAGAAGTCTTAGGCTGACGATATTATTGACTTTTTGTGTTTTGGTATAGATGAGGTATTGATGAAAATTTCTCTTATAATCATTTTCCATTAATTTTAGGTTGGTGAGATGACAGCAGAACTAAAAAGTAAGGATTTAATATGTTAAGAGACTAAATTGAACACTAAGAAAAGTCTAGGACTAAAATTGACTCACTTGAATAGTCTAAAGATCATTTTGATCTTTTTTCATTGTTTGTATAAGCTCACAGTGTTGCTGCCCAATATGCCCAAATCAATGAGAATACGCTGTAGCATGCAAGAATAGGGGAAAATGTTTACAAGCAATTTCAGTTGATGTCTGTTTAGGTGGTATACCGGATATAGTGTTCTTTATTACCATTTCTTGCTGAAGTGACCCTGGGTGTGATGATCTTAGTCCGATGCTTTACACCTTGATAGGATTTATTTAATGAAAAAAAAAAAGGTTTGATAAAAGGTCATGTTAAAATAACAATTAATTATTAGTGATGATTAAAAAAGCATAGAGGAATTCATTTCAGTCTTATCATTTTCTTCTGTTTGTAGGACTGGGTTGAAAAATAACAACTAGATCTATCATATTTTTCAAATTTTTTTGATGTGGTTTGATGGTTTTTAGTGAAAGAAAACTACTGTTCATATCATCAAGTTGTAAGAAACACAATTTATCTTGTTATATTATGGAAAGTTGAGTTCTTTGCCTCTAGGTAACTAACATATATTCTTACAGTTGGATGGTGTTGTTGCTGAGGTGCGACAGGTCCTACAACGTGGCCTTACCAGAAGACATCGCCGTTCTGACAGTAATGGAAGCACTAATTCTTCTCGTAGTAATCCTTTGCGTGAGGATAAATTTAGCCGATCAAATACTCAGCGTGCTAAAAGTCAGTTTTTGGAGAGCCATCTTGCAAAATTATTTGAGCAAAAAATGGAAATATTTACTAAAGTTGAATACACACAGGTTTGCATGACTTCTTCTTTCAAGCTTGTTTTTATCATTGTTATGCATACACTTTATTGAATAGTTGGCAATGTTCCAATAGTAGCATCTTTTCGCTATCAAGCCTAGTTATCTGAAATTCTAGATTCAAATACGAGAAAGAGCAAGCATGTTCTAATTATACAATCAATTGTTTTTACTATAAATTGAATATAATTTGAAGATTGTTACGGAAATTTAGTTTTGGGGAATCTCAATATTTTTTATCTTCTCATTATATATGCATTAGCTTTTGTGAACCTCAAAATCCATCTGGAAATCCACTCACCTTTGACATTATTTTGCTCATTATTGAAAATGATGTGAAACATATATGGAAATAGGAATTGCTTAGGAATTAATAACAAGTTAAGCTTCACTAATATTAAACTTAATGTTTCACCATATTAGATTCTCGGATTTCTTAGTTGTAGTTGTGCTTTGGCATGCGGTTACAAGAAAGATTAACAGGACAATTTAAAATAACAACAAACTTCTAGTATTAAAGGCATAAACAACAGAAATCTACGATTTAACAAATAAAAATTTCACCTTTAGTTCCCTCACTTTCGCTCTGTGAGGTGATTTTAACGGAAGAATAATTTTAGCAAACTTAGAGATGCCACCATAAGACAATGAAAAGTTATCGTGAGGGGAGAAAGTTGGTGGATGTCCGATAACTCAACACTGTTCGGAGATTTGGTGTTCCTCGATGGCAGATGTCAAGATAAAAAGGATTCGATCAATATAGTCGTCGACGGTGTCGTCAGTCTCCAAATTGAGGTTGAAGAAGGATATCTACTCTTCCTTGAAGATCATACATGAATCCATGATTGTGCTCGGGATTGGCCATTCATGGGGAAGTAGGCTAAGGGTTGGTGTATCTTCTTCCTTGGGGGGTATTTGAAGCAAGAGAGAAAGAGAGATGATGGAAGGAAAGGTGGGCTAGTGGTTCGGCCAAGACTAGGAGCCGTGGCGGTTAGGGATTTAGGTAGTAAGAGGAGTCAAGAGGAGAGGAGGAAATTAATTCCTTGATTAATTAACCTAGAGTAGAAATTAATATTGGAATTAATTTGAGAGGGAAGGAGTCAAATTCTCTAATTGGTGGAGGGATTTTTGGAGAGATTGGGTTTTAATTTATACCTTGGTGACCGGCGAGGTGGAGGGCACGAAAATCGAGACAACAATTTTATTTATTTATTTCTTTCTTTTTCTTTTTTCAATATCTCTTTTTTTTTAATGCTCTATATTTTTTTTAAAAAAGCCCTCTCATTTTTTTTTTGGTTTTTTTTGGCTCTCTCACACACTCAAACAAACAAGCATATATATATATATATATAGAGAGAGAGAGAGAGAGACACACACACACTAAAAGTACCTAATACTAATAATTATAATAATATCTAACATATAATAATTACAAAAAAAAATTACAACATATACCTAGGCATGCAGGTTGGGTCGGGTGAGAGGACATGGAGTCTAGTTGAGTTCGGGTATAGGCACTGGGGAACAAAGTTGATAGGATATATGGTGGAGTTCGGCTTCAACAGAGGATTGAATGGGCTTTGGTTTGCGATCACAGTGGATTGGACAGACAGAGGAGGCAGGTCGAATGGCTCTAGAGGAGCTTCACAGTGATGGACTCCTGTTGCTTCTTCTGATTCGACAGAGGAACGTCGTCAAGGGAGCGAAGTCGGAGTCGGGTATGGGAGTTCGGTATGGAGAAAAGGTACGGGGAAGAAGCTCTCTCTCTCTCTCTCTGGATCAAAAGATATGGGAAGTTGGAGGCGTTCCGGCAATGGGGCTCCGATTTGCTATAGAGGTCGGATGTTTGAGTCAGAAAGGAGTCGGGTTGGATGGAGGTTGCGGGAGCTGCGGGAGTTTGGCCTGAAGTCCAACGGGTTGAGAGAAATCAAGATAAGGAAGCGGAAGAGGAGAACTCTCGCATGCGTGGGAAAGAGGCCGACGGTGATAGGATGAGTTCGGCTAGATCAGAAGAGACAGAGGGAATGGGGGAAGAATTCAGAGAGTTTGCGATGGGAGTTGGGGTTTGCAAATGGAAAGGGAATCAAGAGCTTCATTTAGCATCGTATTTAACGACTTGAATGGGAAAATTATTAGGTCCTCTGCCCGAATGTTGCTATAGATTCGGCTACCAATAATTTAATGCCACGTAGCAGCCCGAAGACCCGACCCAAACCCGTGGTAATTAAGATTTTCACGTCTCTTTTCACTAATTTGGCTGAAACGGGCGGGAAAACTTTAAAACCCGCGGCACCTTTATATGAATAAACATTTGGCCGATTAGCTTTTGTACACAGAACGTTATACAGTATTTAGGATTTACAGGTAGAAGAAAAAAGTTTCGCGAAGTGTTTAAGGCGATGGATGAGAAGAATCCTTCAATTACTTTGGAAGAGTTTGACGATTTCGACGAAACTTTTGGCACTTATACTCCGGATGACGATTTTTCTTATTTTATACTAGTAATTTCTCATCCATCTTTGTCTGATCAAATCATTTTTGTATATTTCTTTTTCTCGGTACAACTCGGTATTTGTATATTTCTTTTCCTAACGATAGTGAGAAAAATTATGCAGGGAAGATACTATATTTCAGAGTGGAAATGCAATGATTTTCAGAAGCCAAATGGACGAATTGTTGCTATGTGAAGAGCTTGATAACAATCATGTGGACGCTTTCGCAATTTTGTTATCTGAAAAGAACGACCTGGTTCCAGGACTGAATTAAACCTTTCTATATGTTTCTAGTTTTCATTGGGTGAGTTATCATTTATAATACAGGTTTACTGTGTATCATTAACTGACGCAGTGAGTTTTTTTCCAGGGATATTATTGTCAAAATAAAGAAACGAAAACAACTTCATTTGTAGAAAATATCACCCGAAGTGCTGTTAAGAATGCTAACCTTATATTTGTTCCCATTATAAACGAGAAACATTGGACTTTACTTGTTGCCAACCTGAGGAAAAAAACTTGGGATTTTATGGATTCAATACCAAAAGCAACACACAAGGCTATAGCTCCGGAAGTTGTAAGTCCTTAAATTTATCTTTGGTTCAAGCTATAAGATTGATTATAAATATTTGAATTTTATTACCTTTACAGATATCTCATTTATACGCTGATACAAAAGATGCTTTTGAGGATGATATACGAACCTGGCCAATCCAAACAATCCCGAACTTGTCAGCACAAGAAAACAATGTGGCATGTGGACTGTTTGTATGTAAATATATGGAAACAGTTATACAATATAATAATATTGAATGGGACATGCATGAGAACTGACAAAGTAATATGACCTTATTTAGGGCTGAATTTGCATATGCACTTTTTGTAATACCATGAAATAAATTTATAAATTTTCATCTGCTATTTCTGTGTTTTATTTACTTTGATTATACTGAGTTACGCATACTACAAACAGAATACAACACATAATTTTAGATAAAGTAAAAATCTTTACAACAAAAACCCAAAGATAGTCTAAAACTGATTATTACCGAGCAATACCGAGTTATACCGAGTTATACCGAGAATAAAATTTCTCGGTATAACTCGGTATTGCTCGGTATTTGTTATTCATTTACTAGTTCGTATTGTAAGTACACCTATTCCATAGTTTTTGTTATTCTCAGTATTTTGGTATATCTATTTCTTTATACGTACAGACATAGTAAAACTTACAATACAAATCAAAGACAAAATATTACTCTAATACCGAGTATTAAATGCTAATACCGAGTTTTACCTAGGCATAGAGACATGTTGATAACACTTACATAAAGGATGACTGACTTCCAGATTATGTAGGTGTAAAATATAAATGTGTAGAGGGATTATGCTCTGTCGGTTTCACTTTTTTGGGCTTCCTCTTCTCTCAATGATCCTTTAATCTAGCATTAGAGACTCCCTTAGGCCGTCGCTTTGCAGGATCTCTAATTGTTTAGTGGATGCCCTCAGTTATGCTTTTATTTCTTTTTCCTTCCATAATGTTTTGAACGTTTAATGCCAATGCATGCATACAATCGATCATACATTGTTCTGCATCCTCATTACCTTGTGCTTCGGTGCTAATTTGATATGCAAATCGACATACATAATTTTTAAAAATCATATTTTGGGAAACTTGATTCCCTGTGCACATGCTCTTAGCCATACGTTGGATATTCAATCCACTATATAGATCATTCCGAGCACTAGACGACCATCTTGGATTTAAGTATTTCTGAGGAATATTACTAACATCCAACTGACTCATCACTCTCATGCAATGATACACAGTATTCCCATCATCTCGAACTTTGCACAGCTGCATTGTATAGTTCCTTCAGATGAATTAAACAAAACCGTCCACTTGTGTGAATCAAAAGAATGGTCTATGTTCTTCACAGAAAATGTTGATGAGTCTGGTGAAGAGTGATCAATGCATAGTCCACCTAAACCATTTAAAAGCTCCTCTTCAAAAAAGGAATATAACTTTCTTGAATAAAATTTGGCTGCTTGCTTTAATATCGGACTTCTTTTCATGTACGGTTGTATTTCGGTTTGACAACACCTAAAAATTTCATCTCTTTCATTCATACGTCAAGTGTTTATAAGTTTCTCCAATCCAAGGAAACATTCGGTGAGAGAACTTGTAGCCTTTGAAATACCATGACAAACAAAATTGGTGGACTCACTACGTTGTGTAGACAATATTCCAAGGTTAAATCAATCTTTGTTGAAAGCTATAGACCACTTTTTCCTTATTCTATACAAATCTTTTAACCACTGATGGCTCTGTAGGTCTCCTTCTCTAATCATCTCATTCCACAAACTATCAAATTCCTCCGCAGAATCACACTTGGTAAAGCAACTATAGAAAAGGCCTTTCACTTGGTTGTTACTATTAAAACACCAAACTTTGGAAGGAGCCTTCTTCTGTATATTCCATTGGCACAACTGATGTCTTGTATTAGGAAATACAATCGCTATCGCCCTAGCCATTGCTTGATCCTGATCAGTGAATATATTAACTGGATGCTTATTATCCATAAATCTTAAAAATGTTTGAAATAGCCAACAGAATGAATCAATTGTTTCATCAGATAGAAATGTCATCCCTAACATAATGTTTTTCCAATGATTATTGACTCCAATAATAGGGGCACATGCTAAGTTATATTTGTTTAAACGGTAGCTAGTATAAAAAATAATTACATCCCCAAAGCAGTCGAAATCCACTCTCCCCAAACCATCAACCCAAAAAAAATTTACCAACCTGTCTTCTTCATCAGTTTGCACATCCCATGCAAACAGATGGTCTTCAGCTGCTCGATTTTTGAACAATTCGATTAGCGAATTGCTGTCCCCATTCTCAATTTTTGATCTTCTCTCCTTCTGAATGTAGTTGTATGCATCTCTCTTGGTAAACCCCAGATTTTCTACACCTCCAACCTCATCGGATAGATAGGAAAATGCAGTTATTGTTCTTATTCCCGTATCAGCCATTGATTTCAAAACGGAGGCATTTTCCTCAGTGATGTGCCTAGATGCCTAGATGATCTCAACAAATGTTGATCATCCGGTTTTGCCAATTCATGGTTGTGTGTTTCTACCGAATTTTTCACCGTCCATATTCCATATTCATTAACAGAAAATCTCACCATAGCAGGACATCCTGTTCTTGTAGTTGATTTTCGAAATTTTACCTTTTGAATTTTTTCTGTCCTTCTTGAATCCAGCTTTGGAACAGACAAAAACCTTTGATTTTAAATTCCTTGAATTAGGCCAGTATGAAATATGTTCTTTCCGAACACTAAAACCATGCGCATGTGCGTATCGACAATATTTAACATATGCTTCCTTCTCAGATTTATAAACCCCCTGTGAAAAAAAATTCCAATATTATGAATGTGTACCACAGAATAATTACCTAATAATACACGGAAATACCGAAGTGTACCGAGTTTTCTGAGGGGTCGGTACAAACATATGGTTTTTATAATCGGTACATAGTAAACTAGTCTGACAGAAAACAAACAAGAAAACTCAGCGTACCGAGTTTTACGTATAAATACCGAACTATTCCGATTTTAATTAAACTCGGTACAAAGATATTAAAATTAAAATCTCGGTATATACAGAACAGAAATGACGTAACGATACGAAAAACTTATCCATACCGAGTTATACGTATAAATACCGAGTTATATCTAGTTCTCAAAAAACTCGGTGCAAGTTCTTCATAATTATAATATCGGTACAAAAACCAATTCCAAATAATAGAAATAAATCTCGAGCAGTATCTAGTTATAAAAAGGCTCGTTACAAAATTATCATAATTATATTTCCGGTACAAATATACAATTCGATTATTACATATAATACCGAGCATGACGGAGATATCAGAAGGTTCGGTACAAACAAAAATGATTTGATCAGACAAAGATGGATGAGAAATTACTTGTATAAAATAAGAAAAATCGTCATCCGGAGTATAAGTGCCAAAAGTTTCGTCGAAATCGTCAAACTCTTCCAAAGTAATCAAAGGATTCTTCTCATCCATCGCCTTAAACGCTTCGCGAAACTTTTTTCTTCTACCTGTAAACCCTAAATACTGTATAACGTTATGTGTACAGAAGCTAATCGGCCAAATGTTTATTCATATAAAGGTGCCGCGGGTTTTAAAGTTTTCCCGCCCGTTTCTGCCAAATTAGTGAAAAGAGACGTGAAAATCTTAATTACCACGGGTTTGGGTCGGGTCTTCGGGCTGCTACGTGGCGTTAAATTATTGTAGCCGAATCTATAGCAACATTCGGCCGGAGGACCTAATAATTGTTCGAGGCGAGCTTGATATGACTGCAACGGCGCCGAACAGGGTATGGGGCAGCTGTAGAAGTGACGAGAGCAACGATTCGGGCTGGATTTGGCTACAGGTAATCATTTCAAATGATTTTTTTTTATTTTGTTTTGTCTTTTTCCTTTTGGTTATAGTGTGGAGGTTAACAATACCTTGTTTATAGAAAGCAAAACACGGTTATCTTTGTTATTGAAATAAGATTTACAAGATAAGCTCAAATCAAAATTTATCCAAATCATAAATAATTTAAAACACAAATCAAATATTATCCAAAGGATTTTTAAAACTAATTTCAGTTATACTAAAACAAAAACAAATAAATAAATGATATGCTAGAAATAATTCCTAAATCTAATTTAATGTGCTGCATCTTTTGAGGTCTGATTCCACGTCAACATCGCAGTGCTACGGGATGTTAATGTCATTATGTAAAAAGCTTTTGAGAGTACGAGGAAGACTGGGAGAGGTGAGAAGATGAGGATGAAGAGAAGGTTGAGTGGGCTGGGTAACAAGTTCAGCGAAGAAGACAAGATGGGATTTTTTACGGATTGGTTCAAGCGGTCAGGTTGTTTTGTTTATCTACTTAAGACCTTAACAACACCAAATTTACAATTATGTCATATTTAAATACTTTTAATAGATGCGGGCTGGGTCCTTTTGCCAATGAACTGAACATGGCTTTTTCAGATTTGAGCTCATTACACACGCTCGAAGTTGGCTCATGAATGAACCTATTTACTTAGTTTAAGCCGGACAAAAAATCTGCTTAGTTGCATCTTTAGATGGAGTAGTTCAACCAAACTTTTCCATTATTTTGCGGAGGATTTGCAGCTCTTAGCGGGTGCAACATCCTTAGTTAAATTTTCTTTTATTATATTTTCTTACTCAGGGGCGATCTACCTACCTGGGGGGTGTAATTGCCCCCACCATAAAAGTTTTACAATATTATGGCCTTTAGGTGATTGCCCCCAGCATAATTAAACACAATATGTAGAGGTGTTATTGTAAAGAGAATCCAAAAATATTCTTTGCCCTCTTGGACCCCCGGCATATCCACAAAATCTCTTTACTTTTACTTATAAATTTGCCCCTCCTGAAAATTAGATTGGTTCCGCCCATTTTCTTACTTTAAAATGCTGTCTTTTGGCAGTTTAGTAAACTTTCATCCATTTCAGTTTTTTTATGATTCTGAGTTCATTCATGGCTTCAGGAATCAGTTGTATCAACTGTTGTCAAACTATGTCTCAAAAGCTTGCAAGAATTTGTTCGTCTCCAAACCCTAAATCGAAGTGGATACCAGCAAATCCAGTTGGATATTGAATTTCTGAAGAATCCCCTGAAAGAATATGTTGATGATGAAGCAGCCATTGATTTCCTGCTCAAAGAGGTAAAGATAATTATGCTTGTAATGATTAAGTTCTTCCATTTCCTGATCACTAGCTGCCTCAGCTTTTCCAGAATCCCAAATAACAAACAAAATTTCATTTAAAGAGCTTATAGCTATTGGCACCAATCAATAAAATGCAAAAATCTTTCTATTAATATTATTTCTGCCTGCTTCAGGTTATTAGTGCTGCTCATGAGAGGTGTCTTGATCCAATCCCGCTGGAGCCTCCCATATTGGATAAACTTGTAAATGCTAAGATAAGCAAGAGCAAGGATCAGAAAACAAGTGCGTAGAAGCTTTGAATACATAAGTCACTAAAGTTTACATTTTATTTTTACAAGTTAATAATTTTTTTCTTTCATAAAAAACTTGTACGAGTTGATGTAAATTGGCCTATTGTCCTTACATTTTGTGCGTGGAAACTACAAGCAATTATTGTACTTTTTTCGTGTGTGAATTACTGAGGTGCTATGGATGAGCGGCACGAACAATTATTAGGTTCTCCGACCGGACGTAGAGGAACGTCCGGTCGGCACTAAAATCCCGCCAACTCTACGTCTGGCCGGCACTAAAATCCCGCCAAAAAACTCGGTATTTGCTCGGTATTGCTAGGTATTATTTGGTAATAACGAGGAATACCGCTCTGTGAAGACCAATACCAAGTTATACCAAGCTATACCGAGTTATACAAAAAAATATCGAGTTTTTCTGAAAAACTCGGTATAGCTCGGTATTGAGTCTTCACATGATGGTATTCTTCATTATTGTTTGGTAATGCTCGGTATTTCTCATTTTTTGGCGTGATTTTAGCTCCGACCGGACGTAGCTCTACGTCCGGTCGGAGGACCTAATAATTGTTTGATTGGGACATATTTGTATTTGCATATTTTATGAGTTAATAGATCTTTCATTTAAATTTTACTTAAAAGTATATTTTTTAATAATTATTCATCCGAATTATTTAATAGATCTAAGTATCATTTTGAGATGATTTCTTACTATTTTTTTAGTACATAAATTTAAAAATTCTGGTACTAAAATGTTTTTACTCACTAATAATATAAAAAATTTTATACTTGAAAATTATTGAAGTTGTACCAATCAAAGTCTAACTTTCATTTTTATATTTATTGTATCTTATTAAATTATTAAACAAAATAATATAATCTCACATGACCATACGTTAAAATACTCTCATGTTTTACACTTTGTTGTTAACTTTAATGGTCATTATTTCCCCAAAAAAACTTTACTGATTATTTTATATTTAAAGTTTTTTACTATAATTAAGTGACTAAATTAGTACAATGAGATACTCTTAAGATAAAATTAAAAACTTGTTAACGCCGGAAGACATTTTTGGATATTTTTCTGATTTGATATGTAGTTCAGTTCTAACTTATTTTTGGTTGCATGACTACTTGTTAAAAAAATTTCGAATGTTGATGGTAAATTCATAACACGCATGAATTTCGTATTTTTATATTATTTATGTTTGTAAGTTGAATAAATTTGTATGTTGCAAGCATAAATATACACAAATATCCTAACTCAGATGCAAACCACCAGTATTTGACAATAGTTAGATTTTGTTTGGAACACCTTTCTTACTCAATGTTTCGGGTTTACATCTTTTTAATACAAAAATTTATTAAACTAAAAAATTATACTTAAAAATCACTTCAGAAAATAATATAAAAGCTATCTCAAATAGGAGAGATTATTCTGTGCGGACTCCGGACACGTCCGATTTTGTCTCTGTGAACAGTTATAGACTTCACAAAGACAAATCGGACGATTCTCCCCATCCTATATCCACAGAGAATAATTCGTCCTCAACTAAAGCCTTGAAAAGTGCAGCAAGCAAGAGTTCAGTATCAGGTTGAAAGGATCTGTTTAGAGCCGGTAAATTAGAATCTCACCTTTACTCCTGTAAGGTAAAAGGATCAGTCAAAAACATACTAAAACATCCTCACAAATTTCACAATACTATCACTCTTTTTTTGTCATCTCCACTCACCTGATAATGAATTCAACCCACAGAAAAAAAAAAAAAAAAAAAAAAAAAAAAAAAAAAAAAAAAAATATAAGTTAAAAAAAAAAATCAAAAATCAAATCAACAATAAACATGAGTATCACATAAAATATTAGAAAATAAGTTAAATAAAAAATACATGATCATTCAAAAAATTGAAAACGGCAAAAGCATTTTACTATAAATCTTGCTCATTTCCATTTTTATCTCTGTGGATTTCGCTGTTTATTCTGCTTATTACCCCTTGTTCTCGAACTGGTTTCTGCATTTTCTTCCTCTTCTGCTTTCTGCTCAGCCTCCAGTATAGCCAGCTTAAATGCACAAATGAAAAAAAAAAAAGTGTTACCATAGAATCAACAGAACTGTAAGGAAAAAAAAAGCAAAATCCTACGAAATATTTTAGTCACCTCATCGAGTATAGGCTTAAGCTCTTTGAATCGTGACTCAGCAAGATCAAAGCCATCTTTGCGGAGCTCCTGGAGTTCATAATTTATTTAAAAACAGAATGAATTGCAATAGTAAAACGAGGTTGAGCAAACCCTAATAAAATGCAGAAATTTTAGTAGCCAGAGCTGCTATGGTTACAGTTTGGTTGTAAAAGACATAGGCTTCATTTGACACGGTTTTTTTACTGTTTCTTAAAGCATCTTTTTAGTATAAAAAGTTATTTTAAAAAGTAATAAAAAAACCGTCCCAAATGAAATCATAATCTAAGAAACAAAAATGCCCGTTATATGGACTTGATATTAGAGGAAAATTTATCATCCTTTTTTCATACTATTTGGACGATTTCAAACAAAGGAATAAAGAAGAGCATTTATCTCTAAATATTAAGATGCTCAGATAGGTATTTCAGTTTCTTAAAGCAACTTTTTAGTATAAAAATTTCAATTTTAAAATTAAAAGGCTACTTTAAAAAGCAATAAAAAAACCGTCCCAAATGAAATCATAATCTAAGAAACAAAAATGCCCGTTATATGGACTTGATATTAGAGGAAAATTTATCATCCTTTTTTCATACTATTTGGACGATTTCAAACAAAGGAATAAAGAAGAGCATTTATCTCTAAATATTAAGATGCTCAGATAGGTATTTCATAGCCTGAGATTAAGACTGACCTTTCCCGTATGTTGGGTGTGCTCATAAGCAGCCATTTGCCAATATGTGTTCGTTCTTTTGTAAAAATCCTTCAGAGATTCTCCAGGCTTAACATGACAATGAATAGAAACGAGGATATTAAATACCAGCTTTGGCAGCTCCATATGTAGATGAAGATAAAAAGTGTTATGATTATAAAAATCATGCTTCTATTTGATTAGGAGATTGAGGCTTCATTTGGGACAACTTTCTTATTGCTTTTTAAAGCAATTTTTTAGTACGAAGATTTTAAATTTTGTACTAGATAGCTGCTTTAAGAAGCATTAAGAAAGTCGTCCCAAACGAAACCTGAACCACTCAGTAAAACAAAGTTACAAAAAACAAATTTAATATAAAACAGGTTCAAAATCCACAACGCAAGTCCATATAGCCAACTTCTCTCTTGCAAGTAGTTTCGAATAAAAACTTTTTCCTTTTTGAATACATGACACAGATAGTAATTTATGGGTTCAGATCCTATATTGTTACCATGGTGATTGTAGAGGTGCAGTTCACCAATCCCAGCCTTAAAATCCACTTTAGGCTTGAATCTAGCAAAATCGTAGTTGTTTTTCTAAAAAATTGTTGGATTCAATCTAACAAAATCGTAGTTGTTTTTGAATCTAGCAAAATCATAGTAGTTTTTTTTTTTTTTTAATTTATTGGATTCAATCCTAGCTATCCAAAACCGATTGGACATCTGGGATTGGTAAATCACACTGATGAGGACATCAGACATCAGTAAGAGATTCCGGAATGTCTATCATGGGAAGCAGCGCAGAGCGACGGCCTTGATCAGAAGACTTTATTTTTATTTTGTATTTGTGTTTCTTTTATTAGTTATGATGATTGTATCATTTATCTATTTGTGTTTGAGTTATAGCCCCAAGGGCATTTTTGTCTTTCTTTTCTAATTGTTTGGAGGCCTATATATAAGGTCCTCATCTTGTATGAGAGGATGGTGAATATTGAATGAAATTTTGTTTTCTTTGCTTGATCTCTAAGTGAGTTCATGAGAGGAGAAACCCTAGGTGGGTGAAATACCCGTCAACCTTCGGTGAATTCCAAGGTTCGCGGCTCCATTCTTTTCTTTTCTAATTTTGTTCTACTTTCATCTCCCCTCCTAACCCCTACCCGCCGTCCTTCCAAACCCCCCATCCCCTTTCCTCCTCCCAAAAACCGAACCCCACCCAATACCTCACCCTTGTGCCGCCGGCCTCCCCTCACCGTCCACCACCAACCCACCACCCAAGGATTTTGAATTCCAAATTTCAAAATCGTCCATAATTACTTTCATTAATTGCGTCCTCATTAATTTGGAAAGTTGCTTCATTTAGATTCAAATTCAAATTTGAATTCTAAAACTTTCCCTATTAATAACGTATATTAGAAAACCTCCTTGTTGCGGGCTAGAATATACGTGACGATAGAGTTTGTAATTTTACGTCCAAGCGTTGTACGAATATTCAGCACACACAAACAGAAGATAAAAAGGGAAATGAACACCAGGACTTTTACATGGAAAACCCAAAAGAGGGAAAAAACCACGAGGCCACGCCCAGTTGAAGTAATTCCACTAGTGTTTGTTTGAAGTACAAAGGCTGATTCGTCCCCACAAGTCAGGACGATCAGGTTACAATCAATTTCTTCTAAATTGAAACAAAGTTACAAAGTTCTGCAGAATTCCGGCGTCTCCCGAATATCCGGCATAATTCGGGCGTATTAAGGCGGCGGAAAGAACTCTGGCGGTGGTCGAGAAGCTGATTCTCCTCCTCTTCTTCTCTCTCTTGCTTGAGTTCCCTCTTGTGAAGAATGAGGGCTCTATTTATAGTTTTTCTGGAGTGACATAGCTCGTAAATAGGCGTGAGATCAGGGTCAAATAGGGAGTGGTTGAATGGACGGCTGATATTGAATCCCTTGATCGTGCACCGTTCGTTAGACATTTGAAGGCCTTAGTGATGTCGGAATTCGATGATATTGGGCTCATTGGATTCGTCTCGTCGAGCCGTTCGATTCGACTATAAGCTCGTTAAAATTGGAGACCGTTTGGTAACTCAAATTGTGGTACGAGCTTTCCAACAACACTTCGGGTGCTTGATTTGGGCTCGGATCGAGTTGAATTTGGTGTCGTTGGGTTCGTATTTCCGAGACGATTTGAAGGTCTTAATGATGTTAGAATTGAGTGATCTTGGGCTCGTTGGATTCATCTCGTTGAGTCGTTTGATTCGAGTATAAGCTCGTTAAAATCGTAGACCGTTTGGTAACTCAAATTGCGGTTTGAACCTTCCAACAGCGCTTCATGTCCATGATTCGGACCCATTTGGGCTCGGATTGGGTCGAATTTGGTGTCGTTGTGTTCGCATTTCCGAGACGCTCAGTTTGACTATAAGCTCGCTAAAATCAGAGTTCAACTGCTCTTGATTTTATTTTTTGAAGTTTCTGAGTAGATTTTGCCTCGAGATTCATGCTTGATCAAGATAATTTTATGATAATACATCAATATTAATGAATCACTTGATCGTGGACCTCGTCAGATATTTGAAGGTTCTAATGATATCAGAAGTCGAAGATCTTGGGCTCGTTGGATTTGTCTCGTCGATCCGCTCAATTCGACTATAAGCATGTCATATTTGTAAACTGTTTGGTAATCCACATTATGGATTAAACCTTCTGAATGTGCTTAGGGTCTTCAATTTGGACCCATTTGGGCTCGGATCGGGTTGAATTTGGTGTCTTTAGGTTCATATTTTCGAGACGCTCAGTTCGACTATAAGTTTACTGAAATCGGGGTTCAGATGGCCCCATATTTAATTTTTGAAGTTTTCAACTTGATTTTTATCTCGAGATTCATGTTCCGATCAAGATAATTTTTTGATGACATATCAAAAATGATACACCGAACCATCTCATAATTTTATAACTCGACACTTTAAACTATTATTACATTTAAAATGCATAGTACTATACCATTAAATAAATAAATAATGTTTAATGAATATTTATTAACATTTTAAGAATGAATATATGTTTTTTTTTTTTTTTTATGATTGAGATCATTCTCAAGTGATTGTTATTCTATTTTGTAATTGTTTGCCTTTACATTATTGATGGCCTTAAGTCTAAGCATCTAATCTTGTGAAACATTAGTTTATATTGCAAAGCTTAAAGTTTCACATCACACACTTCTACAGTCATCTTGATAATTTCAGAAACCCAAATCCATAAATCATATTCATAGATGTTAAACTTCCCTAATAATCACAAAGTTTAAGCCCGCAGGTAGTCTTCATTGAACCTGCAGGTTCAACAGACTATTTTTTGAGTTGGATCCAACCATTTCACAACATTTTTTGGAAGGAAAGAGTACATTTTGTGTTGTTTTCAAAATATTTTTAGATGCATAAGAGGCATGTCTATATCAGACATGTTAGGCATGATCGATGGAACAGATTAATCTTGTTATCATACATTGAGCAATGAAAATGTCTTTGAATCACATTTCACAGAGCGATGAAAATGTCTTTACAGACATATATGTTTCCCCAGGGGGCACCCAAGCTTATGAAAGGTACAGTAAGGAATAAAGAGCATAAGTTCAAGAAAGAAATACAGCAAGTTTAGCAAAGAAATTACCTTCGGAGTCCTTTGTGAATCTGCAAGGCCAAGGCTAATTCGAATCTGTTCGATCCTAGCACGTTTCTCTTTCCTGCGAATATTCTTTTTCTCACCCCTTATAATGGAAACCGCATTTCCCAGATCTATAGCCTTTTCGGTATGATCCACAGATTTTGCAATCATACAGGAAAAATAAATAAATGATAGAAACTCAAAGCAGCAAATGAGGAAAAGGCGCAGTAAATCAAAGGTAATTTAATAAACTAAATATGCTGGACAAGAAAACTTGAAGCCCAGAAGAGATGCTGAACTTCTGATATTGTTTTTGTTCTTTTAACTTTTTGGCAGGTTAAATGTGTCTTAATAAAAATTGTTCAAATTTAAAAATAAAAAAAAAACCAAAACTTTATTAATATCATAAAAAGACCTATTCAAAGTTAATTCTTGAACTATTTGATGATGGCTAAACATTAGATGAAATAACAAGGCTAAATATCAGTACAACAATACAAAACAGATATTTGGAGATGCATCAACTGCATTGCTGCCAGGGTAGATGATCTGTTCCAGTTCACACAACTCTCTTCAGTAAATTTTCTCTCCATTTTTTACTATACATTGGCAGTGACCATGTTTATTTTTTTAATTTAATCGAACAAGTCAATTCTTTTAGAAGACAACAAGTTTGCCCCAAGAATCAACTTGAAATTTGCTGAAAGAGAAGAAAGAGGTAATACGAGTGACAAATCTGAATATACATGCTAGGCAATGGTAATCTAGAGAGTTTGAAGTAATCAAGAAAATATTCCATGGTTTTATACCTTAATAGTACGCACAGCTTTTTTGGCCGGTTATTAGAAGGAAACCCCGTAAAGTTTGTAGCATATTTTGGGTCAATCGGTATACTCGCTTGGTGACCTCTCCATTAGCTGAACACCCACACGCAATGTTTAAAGTAATTTAATGTCAATAGTTTGAACTATATCATTTATCCCTACTCTTCTGATAAGAAGTACTTGTATCACAAGTAATCCCTAGCCCAAATCAGTAAAAATCCACAGCAAAACTGCTGTCCACAGCGATAAAAACAGCAAGAAATAGGGAGAAACTGAGAGAAAACACAAATAGAGACTTGTATTTCACAAGAAGCAAAGCAAAATAACCAAGATATAATTGTTCTTCGATCCGAGAGGAAGAACGTACTCTTCACGATCTCCGGCGATGCCAAGAGCCCAAAACAAAACCTAGATCTCAAATTACAAATTCAAATTCAAGATGAAAACTCAACTCCCACCATAACTCCTAATTAAAAGCAAAGGAAAAAAGCAAATATCCTAAAACAGCCCCTCATTCAAAAAATTTCCTCCCACAATTGATTTAACCCCAACTGGGGCCCACAGGGCTTCCGCCCTCCCCCCCTTGCCATTTCCGCCCAGCAACCAGGCCCCGCATGGCATACACTTGGACTGGTCCTGGTTGGACCGGTCTAGCCGGCCCCTCCTGGGCCGGCGTAACATTACTCCCCTCCCAAAAACTCACCTTGTTCTCAAGGTGAAAGGAAGGGAATTGCTCTTTCACTCTTACAAATGGCTCCTAGGTCGCCACAAAATTAGGGAGGTCCTTCCATTGAATCAACACTTCCTTGTTTCCTCCTTGATCTGATCTTACCCCCATAAGCTCCAGGGGTTCTAACATCACTTCCCAATCCTCCGTATTGCTGGTAACTCGGCGCTAACTGCATGCTCCCCCAAAGCTCTCCTCAGCTGTGACACATGGAACACTGGATGTATAGTAGCGAAGGGGGTAGCTTCAGACGATACGCTACTGCTCCAATCTTCCCCAAGATCTCGTAAGGACCAAAATATCTTGGGGCCAGTTTCTCGTTCCTCCTGCTAGCCACTGATTTCTGCCTGTAGGGCCTTAGCTTCAAGAACACTTTCTCCCCCACCTCATATTGTATGTCTCTTCTGTGCGTATCCGCTCGCTTCTTCATTATTTGTTGTGCCATCTCCAGATGTTTCTTTAACTCTTACAGCACCCTGTCCCTCTCCTCTAAGTAATGTTAGACTGAAGAAACAGGTGTGTTACTCTTCCCATAATGTACTAAGTGTGGGGGGTCTCTTCCATAGAGCACCTTGAAAGGAGTCATCTGGGATGCCGAATGGTACGAAGTGTTATATCAGTACTTCGCCCAAGGTAACCATTTAGCCCACTTCTGTGGTGTTTCCGAAGCAAAACACCTCAAATATGTCTCCAAGCTCCGGTTAACCACTTCTGTCTGCCCGTCTGTCTGTGGGTGTTATGCGGTGCTCCTCTTGACAATTGTGCCCTGCATTCTGAAAAGCTCTCTCCAAAGCTGGCTGAGGAAAACCTTGTCTTTATCCGACACAATTGATTCTGGAATCCCGTGTAATCGAACCACTTCCCTGATAAATGCTGCCGCCACTGATACTGCGGTGTAGGGGTGTCGTAGGAGGATGAAATGTGCATACTTACTGAGTCGATCCACCACGACTAAGATGACGGTGAATCCTTCTGAGCGGGGAAGGCCGTCGATGAAGTCCATAGACACTTCCTCCCACACTCTGTTCGGAAGTGCTAATGGATGGAGTAATCCTCCTGGTGCCATTGCCATATACTTATTCCGTTGGCACACCTCACATTTTGCCACCATCTCCTCAGCATCCTTAAACATCCCTTTCCAGTATAGCTCCGATGCCAATCTCCTATATGTCTTATGTACTCCTGAATGACCCCCAACTGCACTGCCGTGGAATTCCTGCAAGAGGTGAGGAATATATACTGATGTTCGTGGCATCACAAACCTTCCTTGGTATAGAAGCCTCTCTCCCTCCAGGTAGTACCCTGAGTGGCTGCTACTGTCCTTCTTTAATCCTTCCCTGATCTTCTTCAGCTCTTCTTTCTGCATGCTCTCTTCCTTGATGGCCCCCCAATCAACCATCATGGGTACTGAAACTGTTACCTCATGAAGTTCCCCCATACACCTAGATAAGGCGTCAGCTGCCTTATTTTCCACCCCAGGCCGATACTGGATCTCAAAATCATATCCTAGCAGCTTTGACAACCACCTTTGATGCTCCTCAGTCACCATCCTTTTCTCCAACAGGTATTTTAGACTCCTCTGATCTGTACGAACAATGAAATGCCGGCCTAAAAGATAGGGGCGCCACTTTTGAATGGCCAAGACTATGGCCATCAGCTCTCTCTCGTACACAGATTTCAATCTAGCTCTGGTTGATAACACCTGACTGAAATATGCTATGGGCCTGTGATTTTGCATCGGCATTGCTCCTAAACCATACCCTGATGCATCGGTCTCCACTATGGTCTGATGGAAATCTGGGAGGGCTAGAACTGGTACCGTGGTCATAGCTATCTTCAACCTTTCGAAGGCCTGGGTCGCTACATCCCCCCAGGAGAAGTTGTCTTTCTTCAACTGCTCCGTCAACGGCCAAGTGATGGAACTGTACCCCTTCACAAACCTCCGATAGTATCCCGTCAGTCCCAAAAAACCCCTCAACTCCCTGATGTTTTTGGGCATGGGCCATTTCTGCATTGCTTCAATCTTTGACTGGTCAGCTGCCACTCCCTCTTGAGACACAATATATCCCAAATATTCCACTCTCGACTGGGCAAAACTGCATTTCTTTAAGTTAGCTTTCAGCTGATGTGTCTGTAGGATCCTCAAAACCTCCTCTAGATGCTTCAAATGTTCCTCCTCGGTCTGGCTGTACACCAAAATATCATCAAAGAAGACTAGCACAAACTTCCTCAAGTGCTGCCTGAAAACCCTGTTCATCAAGGACTGAAAGGTAGCGAGGGCGTTAGTGAGCCCAAATGGCATCACGAAGAACTCATAGTGCCCCTCATGTGTTCTGAATGCTGTCTTCTGAATGTCCCCTTCCTTCATTCTGATTTGATGGTAGCTCGATTTCAGGTCCATCTTTGAAAACACAACTGCTCCATGCAGCTCATCTAGTAGCTCATCGATCACAGGAATGGGAAATTTGTCCGGTACTGTCTCCTTGTTCAGGGCTCTGTAGTCCACGCAAAACCTCCAGCTTCCATCCTTCTTTTTGACCAGTAAGACTGGACTGGAGAAAGGACTCACACTGGGTCTGACAATCCCTGCTTCCAGCATCTCCTTGATCAGCTTCTCAATTTCATCCTTCTGAATCTGAGGTAATTGTACGGTCGAACACTGATCGGTGACACTCCCTCTTTCAGAAGAATGGCATGCTCCTGCTCTCTAGGTGGTGGCAATCCCTGGGGTGGCTGAAACACCTCTCTGTATTGTTGTATGAGCAGTTGCACCATCGGTGGAATGTCTCCTTCTTCCCCCACACTAACCCTCTCCAAGCGTTGCAGCTCCACTAAGTATCCCCCTCCCACCTCCTGTATGGATCTGATCATGGATTTGAGGGATACTCCTACCCTGGATAGCCCCGAATCGCCTTGGATCGTCATCCTCTGTCCCTCCACCATTAGTTCCATCCTCAGAGCACTCCAATTGACTTTGGTCTCTCCCAAAGTCTGCAGCCATTTCATTCCAAGGATGACATCCGTACACCCCAATTCTAGGGGAAGGAAGTCTTCCTTTACATGAATCCCCTGAATCTTCAATACTACTCCTCGTCCCATCTCTACCTTCCCGGTGCCCATCATTACCCCGTAACCTCCTGTATCCACCAGCTCCACCCCCATTACATCAACAATTTGGGTGGAGATGAAATTGTGAGTTGCCCCACTATCTATCAACACCACAACCTCCCGGTCAGAGATCTCTCCTTTCACCTTCATAGTGTGACTCGAAGTGAATCCCACTACTGAGTTCAGAGAGACTTCTGCTACGTCCAGGTGCAGCTTCTCCTCCTCTCCTCGGGGTCACTCCCACCTCCCTCTTCGTCTTCCTCGTCTTCACAAACGAGGAGAACCTGAAGAGATCGGTCCTTGCACCTGTGCCCCGGCATGTACTTCTCATCACACCTGAAGCACACCCCTTTGCCCTTTTCTCTTGCAGCTCCTTCTCAGTCAGCTTTTTGAATTGCCCACCATTGCCGCCTCCTATCCTCTCCTTGGTGCCTCTCGTGATGCAGCTCCTTTTGGAGCTAGGAAGGTAGTCGTCATCC